TATATTTAACACACAATAACATTGAAACAAATTAATATTTTAGAAATCAAGATGTTCTGCATAATTTGCATATTATACAGTAATTAGTCATTATTATTATATAATAATTTTATAGAATAAAATTACAAATAAATTCATACAATTCAAATAAATAAAAAAATAATTGAAAATACAAAAATGAATTGTTAAAATTCTTCATAAATTGGATAATTTTGGACTTGAAGTTGGAATGTCTGTAGGTTGTATTCATTTTAAAATTTTATGGCTTTTTTTATACTTTTTTAAGTATACCATCTTCAGCAAGGATGGTATTTGCATACAAATTTTTAAAACATTTTGTATGTAATATATTTGGTTCCTGTGTTTATAATTCCTCAATGTTGCATGATATTTGTGCCTCTAAATCTGTTGAACAATCAATGTCATAACAGTCGTGACCTAAAGCTGACCTGATGTAGACAGTAGCAAGCCAACAAAAGCAATATAGATGGCTGTAAGAAACTTCCCCGACCACAATCACTTGAGTCTTCCTGTTAATAAAGACAGAAAAATACTGTTACACTCAACATTCCTTATTGAGACAGGCATCTAGTACAATTCTTTAAGGAGGTACTTTGAGGTGCCATACTACACATAACATTTTTGCAATATATGTGTAGGTCGATGCTTAAGACAGGATAGTAGATTTCAAGACATGAAAACCAGCCAATGTAAATTATTTTGTTATTCTGTAATACAAACTATCATACAGTAAGCACCTTTCATGTATAAGCACAACAGTAAACATTATTTTTATATTGCTAGGCGCTGCTCCCAAATAAGTGCTTTAGCATTTATCTGAGATATTCTATTTTTAATAACAGCTTTGATAATTTTGTAAAGGCTACACTCAAATATAAAAATATAACTAGAAATCGCAAATTGCAAGTGAAGTGCTGCGAAGTACGACTGCATATAAATGTTCTTCGAACAAAATTATTTATGCGAGTCAAGTGAAAATAATGAATAATAAAAATATAACAAATAATATGAGACACGACCCATTGTCTATATTAGAACACTTTTCATTGGGTAACAAAGTCTTAATTTTTCATTTTTGTCAAAAAGTATCTATAGTGGTGAATTATGGTTTAGGTTTTTTTAATGAAGTTTCAAAAATTTCTGTGTATGTGGAAAAAGTTTACCAAAGGTTACAATTTTTATTTTGAAGACTGCATGGTCTAGGAAGTGTATATTTTTTTATGGGGCAAGTTTCCAAGGGTGGGTTCTCTAGGGGCGAGTTGACTTCCAAAGAGTGTTGCCAAAGTGTGAGCCAGCGTGTTATTTGATCACAAGTGCGAGACATCGCAAGTGTGAGCCAGCGAGCCATGACATCACGACAATAGATACGAGACGTTAACGAGTTGTGCGCGGTATCGGCTGAGATTTGTGGAGTACAATTCAAAAAACAACTATAAGTCTAATAATGAATTATTGTGATGTGAAATAGACAATGTTAGCTATCAAGGAGCGACGTTGTTTTTCATTGGGACCTTCATCCCTTCAAGGCTAGGACTATACCATCCTAGCTAGTCTAGGCCTAGAGTAGGATAAGGCTAGCGCGACATGCGGACTTCGGTACGTGTAGGTTAGTCTACAAACGTCGCCTAAAGTAATTGATTTTACCCGGCAGAACAAAAGAAGGAAACTCCGCTTTTCTGTTGTCTTAGGCCCTTGTTTTTTGAGAAACAATGAGCTTTCAGAGGTCAAATTGCTGTCAAGAGTATGAATTGGCGGCTGCTTCGCAGCAAAAATTGTCCACTCTTTATTTACCTATTATTTATGTAAATTACAAGGTTTTAAATAATTTAATACTTACATTGCTAGCTTCATTGTGACATTGGGGCGGCCGCCTTCGATGACGCTGTACTCGTAACCTTTGACACTGGTCCGAGCTGTTGTAATATGTTGGCATAAGGTCCAGTTGTTCTAAGGGATCGCACTGACAATCATTATCCATAGCTAATAACACTAAGTTACTCTTAGGAACAGCATGGATCGAATAATTACTGGAACGAAAAGAAGTTTGATCCATTAGTCAATAGCATGAAATACAAATAAAATAAGTACAATAGAACCTTCTTTAGATTTACAAAATTTAGTCTAAAGAAGGTGCTGCTGTACATATTTTCATTTAGAATGAATAAAGAATTAGAATTTGTTTGAACAATAACAACATTGTAACAAAAATAATATGTGACACTTAAATGGCATTTTTTAGATCAAATTAGCTGAAAGCTGGGATAAGCAGGTGAAGAAAAACAAAGACGATCTAAAATCAATGATCTTTGAGCAAAGAAACTTGTGAACCATAGCAGGGCCATAGTCAGGATGGGAGGGGGGGTTTATGGATATCCAAAAATGGGGTCCAACTAGGGTATGTAGTGAGTCATATTGAATAGCTTCTTTAAACCC